CCAGCGCTATATTGGCCACATGGTAGATTATAAGTCTGGCATCTTCATGCTGGGGGAAGAAACCTGCCCCCCCCATCACCTGCCTCCCAGGTAATGGGCATGCTCAGACCCCTGGAGGCAGGGGCAGGCACTTGGCTGATAGGTTACTGAATCTGTCGGTCCAGTACCTGGGACTGGGAATTTCCTGAGGATCTGCCCCCTGAGCCAACCTATTTAGGCCTGGACTGGCCTAACCTCGGGATTCCATGCCCACGTGTGTCTCTGTGATCGTGTCCTGTGTCCTGTCCCCTGGCTCGTCTCCAGTCATCATGGTGTCCCAGTTCAGCACTCCACTGGAGCTGAATTGGCTTGTTGGTATTGTTCTTGTTATGTCTTTCCTCTTTAGCATGTTTCCTAGCTGTGTTATGGGTATTTGTATGCTGCAGGCCTTTGTAACAACTGGCGGCCTGCAGCCTGTTAACTGTATAATAAAGACTCCAATATTCTGTATTTTAAAATGTGGCTTCTGGGATGATTTACCTCACAACAGGGGCAGATACAAGCTTCTCCAGGAAGTAAAATGCGAGGAGAGGCTGAGATGGAAGAATGCTAGCAAGGCTCATTCTATTATTTGGCCATTGCGAATATGGCAGTGATAGATATGGAACATCAGTGTCTTTAGAGTGGCCTGACTTTTAGCTTTGGGGGTGTGTCCTGGGAAGTGATAGAGCTAGATGACATGGAACGTGAAATTTGTATTTGAGAGCCTCAATCTAGCCTTAAAACACGAAAATTGCATGTGGTTTTCAATACCTACATGCATGTAAAACAGCGAAATTGTACTCATTTCAATTCCTGTCAGTAGTGAGTAATAATGGCTTACTCGTGCATCCTTACCACTCTTGTTTGGTTTTGTTTTTTTGTTTTCATGCTGGTGCTGGGGCTTAAATGTATGGCTTACGTTCTTTCCTTGAGTTTTGCCCTCAAGACTGACATACTACCACTGAAACCGCAGCTCTCCTTCTGCCCTTTTAGTAGATAATTGCAGATAAAGCCCCAAGGACTTTCCAGCCTGAGCTGGCCTTGAACCATGTCCTCAAATATCAACCTCCTGAATAGATAAGATGACACATGAACAACCAGTTTCCAGCTACTATATGTATGCTGTGTATTTTGATGGTCTTTTGAACTCATAACTTATATATTGCTATGCAAAGACTGTCCCATTTGGCCATGCCTTTATTTCCTTTTTGGCCTGGTTATTTCTGAAATAGGATCTAGTTTCCTGCCTGGCTATATTGTACTGGTCTCTTCCTCCTGTCCTGTCCTGTATTTTGGGTTCCTACAGGCTTACGGTCCTGTGCCCAACCTTTCTTTCAGAAGGAGTCTCCAATGCCTTCATGTTCAGACCAGCCACAAACTGAAATCCACAGTTCTCTTTCTTCTAGCTAGAGCAAGTTCTACAGTCTTGGATTAATGATAAGACTTTTTTTCATGGTGGTAAAGCAATTTAAATGTAGTTTTCTTGATAGTCCTCTCTTAAATTCCCCAGACAAGTTTGGAAGTGAATCCATCCAATCTCAGACTAACCTGTGTTGAGAGATTTTTTTTTTCATATGCTTTCCAGCTTCTAGGCTCCTACTGATATTTAGATTTCTTATGCCATCTTGCTTCAATATGTGGCATGTGTCTCAGCATTTCACTCTTCCTTCTAGATTTTCAATTTTGGCCGAACCTTTTCAAAATACACCCTAATGATTTTGAGAGGAGGGCTGTCATTTTATTATCAGCTGCCATTATATTACTTAGTTTTTATCTCCTCTTTCGGGTTGACAAGGTGAATTTTGTTTATCCTTGCTTTCATTGATCTTTGTGTTGTCCCAGTTTCTATTGTTATATCTTTTTTTTCTTTTTCTTTTCTTTTTTTCTTTTTTTTTTTTTTGCCAATCTTATGTCTTCAACTCAGGTTCTGGCTGCTGTCTCTGCGCATGTGTGCTCAAGCTTTACTCTACCACTTGAGCCACAGTTCAACTTCTGGCTTTTGGGTGGTTAACTGGAGCTAAGAATCGCAAGGACTTTCATGTCTGGGTTAGCTTTCAACCCTCTGATCTTGGCCTTCTGTGTAGTTAGGATTGCAGGTGGGAGCCACTCATACCCAGGTTTTACATGACCTTTTGTTCTTCTCCTTGTTCTATATGCTCTGAGGTTTGTGTTGCTCTTATTTCTAAGATGTTTGAGGTCTCTTTGTCTTTTCTTGGGGAATCTGAATTTAGGATCATATGCTTGCTACACAGGCACCCCAGAAATGATCCATGTCTTTACCCCATTTTGTTAGGCAGGGTTTTTTTTTTTCATGGTCTTGGCATTTCACTGAAGGATTTAAGCTTGCTAAGCAAGTGGCCTCCAACTTGAGACACACCACAAGTTCTAGTTTAAAATATAAATTTATGTAACTATAAACATCCCTCAAAACATTACTTTTAATTTTTCTTGACCTGTTAGAGTTTGAGCTGCTCCTGGGTGTACAAGCGAAAGGAGGAACCATGAGGAGATTTCAGGGAATCAACCATCATGAGGAAGAGCTTACTAATCACTACTGGGCTTTGAAACCCATTAGAAAAAGTGGCTTTTCCAGTGTGAGACTTGGTTGGCATAAGCTGATGCAAACACAGGTTGCTGTCAAAATAGTTGCCAAAAATGACCCAGACTCATCAGTCTACGTCTATTCTGAAGCCTAAAATATGAAAAGACTGTATCACCGGAACATTATACAGCTGCACAATATTACAGAAGATTCTAGTAATTTCACCCTAGAACATGCTACAAATGGCAACCTAAAAGATTATTATCTGTGCTAAAAATTACCCAAAAGAAAAGTACAGAGATTCTTTTATGAAATTACTTGTGCTGCACACAAAGAATCTAAGTCACTGAGACCTCAAGCCTAGTAATATCTTAGTTGATGGCAGAGAAACCCTGAAACTATAAGACTTTGGGCTCAGCACTCAGTTTAACCCAGGGCAGAAGCTCACTAATTTCCGTGTCACAGAGATGTTCGACAAAGACGGCTATGATGGCACCTCCGTTGACATGTGGAGCCTGGGAATAATCTTATACAACACGCTTGTGGGCATAATCCCCTTCCACATCTTTAACAATTCCCAGCAGTACATATGGCTTCTGCTTTTGAGAAACATCACAGACAAAGCCCAGGACCTGCTAAATCAACTGCTGATGCCGGAGTGGAAGAAGAGGGCTACCCTAGATTATGTCATCCAGCATCCTTGGCTGAACCACTCACACAATGGCAATGGCAGGGATGTAAAGACCACTCTCCCCAAATGCTCATACTCAGAGATCGTGGCCACAATGACTACCATGGGCTACAAAGCCCAGAAAATCCAGGACTCTCTGAGAAACAGGAAATTCGAGGACACCATGGCCACGTACCTCATTCTGTATCATCAGATGCCCCGGGGCTTGGGCTCCAGCAGTGATGGCAAACCAAGGTCTTCAGGCAAAGTGCCTTGCCTAGCCCCCTCAAAACCTCCCATCACTGTGGCTAGGAGGAGGAAGGGCAGTGTCTCCAACCCTCATTCTTTCACCCTTTCCCCTTCGAGATTCCAGCAGGAGGAGGAGGACCAAAGTTCACAAGACCTAAGTGTGGAGCATGTCTCCTTGCCTGCCCTTCCCTTCTACCCCATGAGCATCCAGGCCGTTTCCAGGCTATGCTGTGAAAATGCTCTAGAGCCTGGATCCTCCTCCATTGAGGGCAATGTTGGCCAATCCTACCTCGGAGATCTGTCCAGCCTATCCCTTGGGACTCCCTCATACAATGACATCCCATCATCCCAGGAAGACTCCGAAGCTGGGAGTGGCCGGGAGAGTCCATCTACCTGCCCTCCAGAAGTCAGGCCCAGGCTCTGGAAAGCGTTTTGGAACAGAGTAGTGAGGCCACTCAGGTCACAGTGTCACAGTCTGTCTGCCCCAAGGAGGAACTTCCAGAACAAAATAGTTCCATGGCAGAGAGAGCAGATGACACCACCATTAGGCAGGTGATGGAGGTCAGCTGTGTGCTGCATTTTATGGGATTTACACCATTTTTTGTGTCCTATTCAACTGACAAATCATTTGTTTTTTTTTTTTATCACTAGTGGTGTGCAAGGTACAGATTAGAGGTGGGGTGATTGAGTCATTCTCTTTAATGTATCGATCACCTCACAAAGACCGTACCCACTAACAGGCTCTCCTCCAGTGTGGAAGTTTAAGTAGACAGAGAGAGAGAGAGAGAGACAGAGAGAGACCAGAGGTTGCGGGAGAGACAGAAGGGGAAGGACAATGGCAGCCAAAAGGAAGGGGAGTGGGGAACTGGGAACAAAGCTTCAGATAGGAAGAATCTGACAGAGCAGATGACCCCAGAGCACAATGACCCTAGTCCAGACTATCTTGTATAGTTACCTCAGCATCCCTAAGTGAATCTGTTTCCCTTATCTATTTGTGCTTTAGCAGAGACTGAGAGGCCCTGGGGCTTCAGGGCTTCTGAGGCTGTGGTGGAGGATCAGCCAGAGGTGGACTCTACCCCCCCCCCCAGCAGGAGAGAGCCAGGCATGAACCACACAGGGCTGTGATCCAGGCATGCCTGCACCAGACGACTCCTCTCTGCTCAGCAGGTAGGTGTGCAATCTGCTCCAAACTCTGCACATGGGATGCCAGGCAGGAAGAATCTAGCACCCTGCTGGCCTCTCCAGTCTTCCTGGGCAGAGCTGAGGTGAGCCCAGGGATGCCTGAGTTTGCTGCATGTGACAAGGCCCCCACCTGGGGGAAATGTCCGAGCAGGTGTTCCCTGGGCCACTCCCTCCTTACCCCTCATCCGTCCTTTCCTCCATAGAGGAGGGGACATGGTCCTCCTCATGTGTGTGTGGGGGGCACACATGTGCTTGCCTTTCTGTCCCTTGGAAATGAGGGCCAGTCAAACTAGCCTCCTTTTCCCAAGCCAGGTCAGCCAGATTCAGTGTTCAACCCTAATCAGCCCAAGGAGGCCTCTGCCAGGCCACCTCCTGTTGTGCATCGCAGAGTCCTCCGAGACAACCTGTTGGAGAGGTGTGGGTGGATGAGCTCTGGACACAATGCTGGGCAGGGCTGGAAAAGCTCAGCTGGGCCGAGTCCCCAAGAGAGCCCTGTCTCCCTTCTCCCTTGCTGCCACAATTGCTTTCCTTCTCCCTTTCTAATGAGGCAGAGGAGAGCAGCTCCCTTACCCACTGGGTACCAGGGGTCAGCCCCCACAACAGAGGCATTTCACAGTGACTGAGGGATAGATATTGGCTCTTCTTTTTCAGTATAGTCTTTTTGAGATCAGAGCCTTGTGTTTGCTAGGCGGGTTCTCTACCACCAGATCCATGTCTTTGGGCATTTCCTGTCTGGTAGTCAGAGACGTCGTCCACCAAGCTTGTAGGTGCTACTTGAACTGAGGACAGTCTTAGACACCTGGGGCCTCAATCTGGGTCCTTTGACCTCCAGGTGCTCAGCATCACAATGGGGTGGCATCCTTTTCTTCTTTTCTGGGAGTGCTGGAGTTAGAACCCAGGGCTCCCTGCCTGCTAGGCAGGTGCTCTACTACTTGAGTCACAGCCCACATCCTTTTTGTTTTTGGGAGTGAAGAGGCTGGACAGGAGGGCAGGGAGATGGGCATTGTGCAGAGGAACTTGCCTCCGTTGCCAGCTTGGCATCATACCACGCAGTCACCTTCCCCATGGCAACAAGGCATCTGGGCACTTGAATGAGACTTCTGCCATTCTCTGCATCAGCGCTGGCACTTCCAGACATTCCCAGCCTCCGGAGGCTCCCTGAAGGGTCCTCCGGCCTGTAAAGTGGCTGACATGTGTGGTCTGTGTAAAGCACTGCAGCTCAGGTGGTTGGGTGCTCAGATGCAGGCTCCATGATCTGCTGACATGATCATTGTGTCCACTCCTCTCTGGAATTTTCTCCAATTTGACTCTCCTATCTTTCCCTTCCAGACACCTGAGCATGCTCTATGTTTTCCCCCATCTCACCTAAGTTAATGTTTGTCTCCTCTAGCGGTGGCAAGCTCCAGTACGGCTCCTGAGCTCATCTGAGCACCCCTTCCTGAGCAGAGGACTAACCAAGGCAACTACTGTCCATTCAAGTGCATGAAATTGCCTTGCAGTCTGTGCACACAGAGTCCGGGACAAGGCCCAGAGTCTGTGAGTAAAGGGCCAGGGATGGGGAGCTGGTCACACTACAGCTTGGAACATAGGGTGAGAACTGGACCCTTCCCTCTGGGGCAGTTACAAGTAACAGGGGCTGGAAACCTGGAGGCAGATGTGATACTGCTGGGCGCATGTCCCTAGGAACATCTTGAGGAGGCTGTCCAAGCCAGAGGCAGAGCGCCTGGGCAGCAGCTAGAACACGGAGGACATTTCCTGAGGAAGCTGTAGAGCATCAGGCTGGGCCTCCTGGACAGAGCCAGCAGGTCCACTGCAGGACAAGGCCAGCTAGAGCTGGGTGTTGTGCTTCCCCATCCCCTCTGGACAGGACTGTGCCTCAAATTCTTCCTCGTTTTTTGGGGATAAAGCCTGGCCCAGGATGGCAGGAGGACCCCTATCCTACTCAAGTGCCTGCTTGAGGAATGCAAAGGTCTCTGCGCACAAGGGACACCATACCCGCTGTGGCCCTCACCAAAAATCTAGCTGAGAAGACAGGGCTGTCAGAATTGGAGTTCTTTCCAGTAGTACCTTTGAACTAAGTGCAGGCTAAAGGCAGGGTGGGGAATTGAGGCTTGTACGGGAGAAAAGGATTATCTTCTGGCTCTACTCTGACCTTGTAGGACTCCTCAGGCCCAAGGCTTCCCTGTCTGAAAAGGGAGGACCTGAACCTGGCCTACTTTGTCACGAGTGGACCATGAGTAACAAACATAGCACACATCAGGCCATGAGATGGTCTGCAGGAGGGAATGAATGTAGCCGAGAACAGACCAGGCAACGAGAGGGAGAGGGACCCCAGGAAAGTCCAGGTGGTGGGAAGAAATGAGAAGAGGTTCTGTCTAGCACATCGCTCAGTTGTGACTCCAGAAACTTAACTCTGCGAAACTGCTTATCATCTTCTCATCTTTGCTATTTTTACCTACATCATGTTCCTACAAGATAAATAGGAAGAAATAATCGTATATGTTTGTTTGTAGCCTTTGTATTTTTTTTTTGCAAATCAACTTATGTGTGAGAGAATTCTTTGCTTTCTTTGGTGTGTACCATTGATACACCACAGGAATGAACAGTACAGAAGAGAGCTAGCATGTGTAGATACTCCTTCTGCTGAAATATACACTTAAGTGAATACTTCAAGAATACCAACAACACTAACAAAATTTAGGTTGTGCACATTTCCATCTGTATTTTAAAAGCCACCAAGGTCCTACATTTACCATTAGATCGTATGTACAGAACTGTAAATGCATCGGTATTATCTCAGGGAGCAATTATTTTGTCAATCGTTTATGTAAACCTTGGCTTACAAACTAATTCCACCATCCCTGTCATGTTTGTTTACACACAAAGTGGTAAAGTGATAGCTAGACTTTCTTCCAGCTCTCAGAAATTTCTCTCCATTGGATGCCATACTACGAAGGCCTCCAGAGGAGCTGCGTCCATCACTCAGGTCTTTGTATCATGCTGCACTAAATCCCTTCCCTGGATCTATGATTACCTTCCAGCAACATCAGAGGGAAGACATATTGCATAGAGCAAGACCACATTCAGTGTGATGTGACAGTGCTCTAGGAGAGCAGTGAGCAATGCAGGGGCATTAAAACACCCCCAGGTTTTCCCAGCAACAGGGGACAACCAGGACTCTAAAATCTACTCCTTTAGGATGGGAGCTATCTCTTTTCCTTGCTTGGCAATTTTAAATAATATTGAAGTGATGTGCCTGCCCACTCAGCTTCCCCAAATGTAGTCTCATGCTAAACAATTCGTGTGAAGCATACTTCATGATTCCTGTTAAGCTCCCCCGACACTTTGAAGTTATCCTTTGCTGAGCAAATAAGAGAGATCCTACCATGTCTCATTTCCATCCTGTGCAGTTGTTGGGTGGGATACCTGACACGTCATTGTGATGATTCAATGAGTGGCAATCTGAGTAGAATACTCTTGCTACACACTGGGGAGCTGCTGCCATGTGATGAACACAGACAGATATGTATGCCAGGGCAGCTTGCTGCTTAACACTGGGATCTGGGTGAAGGGTCACAGAAAAGGTTAAAAAAAAATCTCCTTTGATAGCCGGACAAATGTCGGACGTGCTCCCAGTTGAGAGTTGACACCATTTGTGTGCTTCAGCCGGGTGCCATGAGGCAGCTTCCAGAACTGGCTTTCCCACTGCCTTCAACAAGATGTCAGGCACCTCATTGGCTTTAAGGGAAAACTGTACAAGTTGCAGAAAAGCTGGGTTTTGGCAACTGGAACTGCCCAGGACTGACAGTAATTGTGGTCATTAAGAAAAAAAAAAGGGGGGTGGGGGATTTTTTTCTTTAGACATATGGTCACATAGGGATGCGGGGAGGGGGGGGCAGAACAAGGCTGCTCACTTCATGGTGACTGGAACCAGAGGAAGGATGACCTACACCCTCCTCCACAAGCCCATTCAACTAGCATACTTGAATGGATAGCTTTGGGAGAGCAGAGCCTTTACAATCCAATGCACCTCCCAAATGTCTCAGCCCCCCAAATGTCTACGTGACACTGTCTACATTAGGAGCTGTGCCTTCAATGAGTGAGCACCTGGATGATATTTAAGATCCAAACCACATTAGCAACACATGTACTATCTAACACACTGCATTCACGTGTGACATCCTGAGCAGAAACCCCCATGGGGACACAGGGTGCCAGGCCTAGACCTACTGCAAGCATCCATGAACTGAGTTCACCAAGGGGAAACCACAGAGGAGTAGACTGAGTCTGAGACATCAGCACCCAAGGGTGTCTGAGACATCAGCACCCAAAGCTTTCTCACAGCTAAGACAGTCCACAGTGAAGGCCCATCCACCATGAACACAATACTTCCCTCTGCTTCTTTCACAATGTGGCTCCAATTCACACTGACGGGTTTGTACCCCTAAGGAGCATGAAGAGATTCTTATTAAGTAGAGAAGTGAGATTAATTTGTACTGTCTTTGGAAGATGTTACATAGACACAAATGTTGTCAGGTCATCCAAAGTAAAGCTTATCACCTTGAAATACATACCCATGGCAGAGGCCACCACAAGGTTCTGACAACATTTGAAAACTGAGGTTGGGTGTGTCTGGGTGTCACTGTTTCTGTCGTGGAATTCGACAGTGTCAAAGAAACTTCTACCCAACCACCCTGGTCTAGGAAAGCATAATACCCCTGGCCCCCATTCAGTCTCTAGATGGTTTCTACTCATCTTCTATGGGAAAATCCTTCTGGAAAAGGACCTGTGGGCAGATGCAGAATTGTGAACTTCCGTTACTTTATTCACCCCTCAACAACCCCACAGCCCTTATTACCAGTGTGTTTCTCATCTCCATTTTACAGCAAAAGAGCCTGGCCCAGAGCACAATCAGGGCCTGACTGTAGCTACCGGTCACATGCGTGCAATTAATGATTTTTAAAGTCTGAGCTCCTTGCCAATTGATACTGTGCCTTATCTACCTCCAGAAACCCCCCATTTCAAACCCCTGTCCCTGCAGAATGATATGGTAGTACATGAAAGGAACTGATAAAGTAGACCTTACCAAAATTTAAAAAAACAAAAAAACAAAAAACGCCTCAAAGCCAGGCACTGGTGGTTCATGCGTGTAATCCTAGCTACTCAGGAGGCAGAGATCAAAGCCAGCTCAGGCAAACAAAACCAGGAGATTTATCTCCAGTGAATCCACACAAAGCCAAAAGTAGAGGCTTCTCTAAACCAAAAACCCTGAATTTAAGTCCCAGTCCCAACACAATACAAATAAATAGGTTCAATTTTTGCTTAGTTTTATTTTTTAGTGCCGGTTCTAGAGCTTGAACTCAGGGCCTAAGCATTATCTCTGAGCTCAAGGGAAGTGCTTTACCACTTTGAGTGGTTAATTGAAGAAAAAAATCTCTCAGACTTCCTTGCCCAGGCTGGCTTTGTACCATAATCCTCAGATCGAAGCCTCTTGAGTAGCTAGGATTACATGTTTGAGCCACCTTGCATATCAGCACGAGGTATTTTTAAACAGTTAACATCGTTGCCATTTTAAAGGCACTACTAAAATTGGACATATTGAGAGAAAATATTTACACATATATTTAGTAGAAGGCTTAACTCTACAATATTTTTTAAAATCCCTTTAAGACAAAATTTGAGGACAACAAATTTATCAGACACTTGGATCAAGAAAATGTGTGAATGGCAAATATGCAAAGATGTTCGAACTCACTGTTCATTGGACAATCAAAAAATTGCAACCAGTGACACAGATATTGAGTGCTAATATTAAAAAGCAAAGCAAACACATACATAGCAAAACCCCAATCTAAGTTAGGAACATCAGCCACTGATGACATACTTAGCAATGGATAAAAGTAACAAGGGGGCAGGAGACTAGGACCAGTGCAAGAGTATTTGCTTAGCAATGTGCAAGGCTCAGGGTTTCATCCCCACCATTGAAAGAAAAGTCAAGATTTTATGCTTCAAATTACTGAGGGTGTGAGCTGGGGACTTCATGTTGAAGAAAAGATGAGAAATTCTCTTAACCCCTCCAGAGAGCTGCACCAAGTCCAGTGCTTACTTTAGTCTTCAGGTAAATGGAAGGCTACATGTTCCAAAAGGAGTTAGATCCCTACTTAGGCAAAGAGACAGGGAGCATCTGGCCCTATGAGAACCAAAGTTCTCTGGGCACAGGCAGGATGACAAGTTCACAAACTCAAGGACTTGTCTTCTGGCCAGGCAGCCCCGGGTACAATGTGCAGTTTAGTCTCTGGTCCCTCAAGAGTATTTGGTCCTAACAAGTGGTCCACGGTCCTCTTCTGGCCCTGGATAGGCCAGCTGTCCTCCATGAGCCCATGAGGCTCCCATCTGTGCAGGATCCTTGGAAATTTTGTCCCTCCTCATTGTGACTCCTGTCAAATCCCAGGGCAGGGCTCTGTCCAGGTCGAGATTGGACCTGGCTTGCTAGGGGATACAGGTGAATAGCTTGGGAAGTAGGTGGGGCCGATGAGCACACAGACACCGGGAGCCAAGAAGATTTACTTCCACCTGTAGAAGAACTTCTCCATTTCCACTGACACTGGGAAGGAGATGCAGAATCCCATGGCGGCCTTGACCAGGTCCATGGTTTTCAGTCCTCCTCTCAAAGGTGCTTTACAGTCATCAGGCTATGTTAACCATTTCGTTCTACGAAAAGCATCACACTGAATTATTGCAGTCTTTATTCAGAAGAACCGTCTAGAAGCAATCAACTGGGAACTCAGAACCAATGTCAAATTTTGAGGGTCAAGAATCCCCTCAAAAGGAAGGTATGAGTGCTTTCTATAAATAAATGTTGATATTGTAATGTGCTGCAGTCTCCAATGGCTCAGACCTGTACTCCTGGCTTCTCAAGAGTCTGAGAACAGACCAGTATGGTTCAAAGCCAGCCCAGGCAGGAAAGTCCATGAGACTCTCTCTCTCAGGAATCACCAGTATACCAGAAGTGGAGCTGTGAATAAAGTGGTAGAGGGCTAGCCTTCAGCAGAAAATATCATGGACTGTGCTCAGGCCTGAGTTCAGGCCCAAGACCCACCTCCCCCACTCCCCTGCCACCCACCCACACCCACCCACACACACACACACACACACACACACACACAATTCTCTACTTACTTATTTCACACATGATTTAATATGTAACCTATCACAATGAAAACCAGTTTGTATGATGAAATATCTGTAAATCACAGCTTTCCAATGATTGTTTATTCAGTTTTGCCCTTGCTTGCGTTGGACTTACTGGGTCTTTGCACACTCTACACAAGTGTTTTAACCACTTGAGCCATGACTCCAGCCATTTTTTGCTTTAGTTATTCTTCAGGTAGGGTCTCAAGGTTTTGCCTAGTTCCTGTCTCACACCTCAATCCTCTTGTGACCTCCCTCATACCTGGGTTAGAAAGCCTGCACCACCACACTTAGCACACCGACACTTGCAATAGACCTGTGCTGGTCTATTTAGGCACATTTTCATTCATCTTACCAGGGATGGCCTGGAACCATCATGCTGCTCATTTCTGCCTCCTATGGAGCTGGGACTGAGGCTGAGAGCCACCACCTCCAGCTCTTGTATCAGAACCAGGAGTTCACAATACAGGTTTAAGTCTCACAACCCAGTGAGGCCAGGATTCATAGTTCCCCCAAGAGGAAACACAGAGCAAAGCAATCTGTAACTCTGCCAAAGCTCACTTGGCTAACAGGTACAGTAGCAGAAGTAGAACACGGGCTCCTTGTCCTTCAAAGTGAACATTCCCCATTTAGGAATCAGGGTCTTTAGCTAGCTCCCAGGAGAATGGCCCTGCCCAGCCCGTTCACCAAGGGCTTGCTCTCCACTGCTAAGAGGACTGAGTGAGAAACCATGCTGGAAGCCATCCCGCGCTTGAGGGTCCCATCTCTCCACAAAGTGGAACTACTGACTCTGAGGACACGCAAGAACTCCATGGTCACTGTAGGCCTTGGGGACAGGGATTCAAACCCCATTTAGGTCAGAAGTAAGCCATACCTGAGGTTTATCAGTGGACAACCACACACACACACACACACACACACACACACACACACACACACACATCTGTAGTCTTTGCTGCTGGAAGTTCACCAGAGCTGTGAATTATTTGACCTTTCCAATAGCTCAAAGTAACTTAGAAGGAAGATCTAAAAACACCTCAGAAAAAGGCAGAAGAACCTACAAAATTCCAGGACTACGGCTTCAAATGTTATCAGAGTAAAATGCTGAGAGCATTGCAGTAACGGTTCCTCCTGTATCCACCCCCCCCCACAGCAGGGGACACAGCAGGGCACTAAGCAAGCTGTCCACGGGACACCTGTGCATCTCCGCAAACTCCCAGGCCACTCTCTTGCTGACCTAAAACTCTTATTTGCTCTTTTGCTCAAAGATACTGGGTGGGGAGCCCTGGACGAGGGCCATGGTTTCCTGAGCTTAGAGAAGATGGCTCAATCAGTAGAAACTAAATGCTGGCCAAGGACTGGCAATTAAATGGAAGGCTTCAATGGCTCCTGGCCAATGAGGAAAATATGGCCATGCTGTTTGTTGTAACAGTAAAAGAATGATGCCCTTACAGCACTGGCCTCGGCCCAGGACCACAGACACCTCACAAGCTGGCAGACATGGCTTGACATGCAAGTCTTCCAGCCAATCTACTGCACCCAGGATGCTTTGGAGGGACTCCAGTGTGTATCCAGCCAGTGTCTGACTTCCACTTCCTTTTGGGCTCTGGCCAGGCAAACTTTCAATCCTGGAAGGGAGCCGGACAGGGCCACATGCCTTGACGGTGTGTCCCTGTCCCAAACTACCAACCTTGCTCCCCAAGTGTGAAAACAGTCTTCACCAATGACCCAACCTTCAACTTATAACAAACCTAGACTCCCTCAGAGGCCCACATTCTGGGAACGCCCTGTACCCGGTGTGGAAGGAAGCTTTTGATTCTTGAATATCAAAAACCCTCTACAAGTGCATCTCCCTCCAAGAACAGCTGTCAAGGAGTGAAAACCAAGCAGGTGTGGAACTGTGCCTTCCCCGCCCTCGGCCCAGCCCTCACCCACCCTCACACCGGCTCTCTCTTCTAAGCCCAGCGGTCTGCTCTGGGCTCCTCAGCCAGCTGGGCTACCCTGAGCCATCCATCCTACGTCAGAGTTTCCTTCTGTTTAACTTCTGACAATGGGGGCATCCGAGTGTTCATTGTTTACTTCTCTGTACTTGCCCGGTGCTCGAAAGTTCCTTTTTCTTTCTCTTTCCCACAGAGCACACAGGCCAAGAGAGAAGCCAAGGTGAGATGCTGGGGGGATGGCCAAGGCCTCCGGGGGAAAAGGCGGAAAGGACAGGCAGAAAGGCCTGAAGACTTTTTCATCCATTCCTGAGGAAACCTAGGTCCTTGTAGGCACATACTCTGACCTACTGGGGTCTCAAACTCCATAACATCGTGGTAGAAATACCGGATGCTATCAAAGCATGCGATTTTGGCTTAAATACAAGGTTCAGCGGGGGCACAACCACTCCCCTACTTCATGTGTAGGTGCTACACCAAGAACATCCATGCCCTGCTCACTTCAGACACCCGTCTAGTACATGGAACCCCATCCCGCTGCTCCCTCCCTCCAAGGAGGCTCTGAATCCTGAGGCTCTAACAGCCCAGCTCATTTCTCCCCTTAGACCAAGAACCTTTGAAACAATAGGGATCATTCCAGAAGGTTGCAGGTGTCTTCACCAACACCATGCCTACATCCCGGTGGACAGATCCTAGTAACCCACTTCCCATCCCAGACTCCCGGTCAGCCATGACACACCGCCTCCCCGCTACCTTGGGATCCTAGCAGAGCAGGGTCTAGGATCCCTTGCCCATCTCCTGTCCTCCATGCCCAGCCAGAGCCTGGCAGCTAACAGACACTCGACTTCATCGAAAGGGAAGCAGGGAGGGTGGGACAAAGGCAGGGGAGGAAGAAAGGCAGTCACGCCATTTCTCGCTTTGTCTATTGTTTCTATTCAAGTTTCTACCTCTGTCTCCCCTCTGCCATTTCCTCAGTGTCCTTTCCTATTTCCACACAATCGAATGTCTACCTCAACCTGCAGTCTCCTCACTCCCTGACTCTGTTGCAGTAGCACAGTGTCTTTTCCACTTGTATTCTTTGTCTATAATCTCTTCTGGGCTGCTCTGCTTACTCTTCCCCATCCTCTTTCTCTTTCTGCTCTTTCTGTCTCTTCTATGTTTCTTTTTTTTTTGTCTTCATGGCAAGGATCAGACAGACCTAAGGGTACATGAAAAAAAAATGCTACAAATCAGAATATGTCATCCTGCAAGCTACCTAGGCAAAGTCCACTGTTTTCTAGAGGGTTCATTCACTTTCTCCCCTCTCTATCCCAGGATGAGAGAAACTTCCATTCATGTGTTTTCTCACCTGTTCTTTGACATAGAAAGTCACCCCAAATGCTCTTCCAATTACCATCAACCGAGAAACTGAGCCTCCCAAGGGTCTGCCCCCTTACCCAACGTGGAGGACAATTGGGGCTTTTGACTTATGGCAGAGTGATCCTAAAGGGCAGCTCCCAACCAACACCACAAAGCCAAAGAAATGTTCTTGCCTGACAAGACTCCCACACTCCTTGTGTCCCTAGCTCTTTTTGCTGATGAGGATCCAACGGCCTATGAGGTTAGACGCAGCTCTGAGCTGCCTCTTCTCAGCCCTATCCTGGCTGAAGAGTTTCTTGCTCTCATCTTGTTCTTATCGTTGGAGGAAAGCACAAACACTGAGCTTCTTCCACATGCACTCCCCTAATCCCATTTGGTATGGCAGCCCTGAGGACTTGGTCCTTGGCAGAGAGTGGACAGAGCAAGGGCAACGAGCCCCCATGAACCTCAGACATATGGAGGATGCTACCTGAGAGGGAAAGTTAATGGATAAAGGAGACACGAAGATGCCCTCCCCCACTATTTCAAAGTGTAGTTGCTTGGCTACCATGGTGGTGACCAAGGAGAAGGAAAGGATCGGATCCATGCAGGCCAGGGGAACCTCAAGGAACCAACTAAGAGCTTAGGATGCTCAACATGCAGGCCAGGCCAGGCCAGGAGGGAAGCACTATTCTTGGTGAGGTTTCATAGTTTGAGAGTTAGCTTCCTTCAAAGTGCCTGTGGAAGTTTCAACCCCATGCACCAGTTTTGCGGCCTTTGAGAAGTAAAGAGGTCATGAGACCCTGGCCCCAGGGTTGACATGTATGCCCTTAGAAATGGACCTGAGGGAGTGAACCCAGTCCTTCTGCCCCTACCACCATGTAAAGGCAGGCAAGACCTCGTCATGTGAGTAGGAGTCCGAGTGGTGTTCACACACAGACTCTCCAGGTGCCCGGATTAAATTTGCCGACCTCCACACATGTGAGGGTACAGGCAGGACTCGAAACTGCCCAGAAGAGATAAAGGCCTGTAGACTGTTTCATCAATTCCTAAGGAAACTTAGGTACTTGTAGGCACATAATATGACCTATCAGGATCTCAAACCCCATAACATCTTGGTAGAAAAGCCAGATGCTGCCAAAGTGTATGATCTTGGGTTTATTATATGGTTTATCTGGAGCAGAAGCTCAGCAATTTCTGCTGCAAAATGCTTTCCAATGTCCTGAGATATTTTATGCAGATGGTTATGACGGCCATACCATCGACATGTAGAGCCTGGGAGTCATTTTGTAGATTTGTTTGCAGGGTTCTTCCCCTTTTATGAATTCAATTCCACCTGAAAGCACATGCGGTTTGTGCTCCCCTAAATGACATACAATGGAAGTGCAAATTTCCTAAATAAGCTCTTAATGGCTGACTGGAAGGAAAGGGCCATCAGAGATGACATTCCTTGATGATTCACTCAGAATACTGCAAAGGGATTGAGCTCTCTACTGATGTTCCTAAACATTCCTACTCTACATGGTGGGGAGTGCAAGGGATATTACACTCGTGACATCTGCGAGTCCTTGACACTTGACCAAAGAGGGGTTTTGACAATACAATGGCCACTTAACTGCTTCTATTTCACCAATGTTCCAGGGGTTGGGCTCGACCACGGATGGCAAGCTGAGGCCTTCAGACAAAGTTCCTTGGCTGGTCCCAGTATACCTTCCTACAATCCCTGTCCACTAGAGAAAGAGGACCAGTGACCTTGACCTCTATTCTTTTTCTCTTGAGCCCTTGGAAGAAGATCAAGAGGAGGATGTGAGTTCAGAGGACAAGGGATTGAGAAAGGTTTCCCTGCCCACCATTCCCCTCTTCCACATGGGTGGCAAGGGTGTTCCCAGGATATTTGCAAGTGTGTTCCTAAGGCTGGGCCTTTCACTGATGCCAATGGTTCTGAGTCCAACAACAAAGCCTTGTCTGTGGGGACCAGGTCAAAGCCAGCCTAGCTGTTGGCCTGCCATCTTCCAAATACAAAGGGAAATTGGACATTGCCAGTGAAAATAAGAACATGGGCAGCGGCTTTCCTGAGATCAGGCCCAGAGGCAGGAAATCTCAGCAGAATAGAGTGTCTGCATTCACACTGCTGTGCTGCTGCTACCTGAAAGCCAAAAAGAGAAAAAGGCAATTCAGTAAGAAAATTGTTCTAGGACCAAAGCAGATCCTGAAACCCCACCAGGCAGCCAAGGCAGGCCAGCTGGGCTACTTCCATTTTATGAGATCTATACATGTTTTCATGTCTCTTTCAATAGACAAAGCATACTGATATGGTAATGCTATGCCAGCCAAAGATTAGGTGTTGGATGGTTACATCACTCTCCTGCATAAATCTAATACCTCAGAAAGAACAATCCTGCCCTATCTGCTAAGGTGGAGTCTAACAACGTCCAAAGCAGAGCAAGAAGACCAGAGACAGCCAACGCCCTACCTACCAATGCATCTCACATGCCATCCACCACCCAGGACTCCTGCTGTCCGTTCCCACCTGCTGTAACCCAGCCCTGCAGCTGGCTATTCTGTCTCCAGTGAATTCCGTATACTTGGCTACCCTGGAAATTAGATCTGAACTTATGCTTTATAATCTCCGATATCTTCTGTCCTCAAAGACTGCTTACAGTGACAAGTTACTCATTTAGGTGAAAGGAAGAGGTTATTCTAAGACCTGACTGGTCTCTTTAGGTCAGGAGTGACTTGTTTAGCATTAGCACACCCTTTCCTTTGGCTTGCCAGCAATGTACTAAGGCATCTCTAATTGCTCCCAGTAGATGTGGATATTCATGGATCAGTCTAGCCTCCATCTAAATGACCTTTAAGAACGCCCCGCCATGGCTACTACAGGTAGTCTTCACAGATTCTGCTCCCTTTTCTGGGACCCTATCTCAAGGACAACCCTTCTCTGGATCCCATGATGCCCAGAAATTCTGGACCTTAGCAGCTCCACACAGATTGACCTCTAACAACTCCTGAGCCTTGTGCAGCCTGCTCACCCCATGGATTCCCCCAACTGAAGTCACTTGAGTAATTGCTGAACAAAAGGAAATGCTCTACCAGCGAGGGAAATGGCTGAGGATAACCCTCTCCTGCTCAGTCTCCCGAACCTAACGAAACACCTAACCGTTGAGTGACTTCCCCATGGAGAAGACAACGTGTTACCACCAGTGGCTTTGGGAATGACCTCTCTCCCTGTCTGGAAAGAAAAGGGCAGAAATACATGGTTGTATCCTCAGAGCCTGGGAAATCCTGGCCAGGGAAATCGATCCGAGGCAGACCAGGTCTGTGGAAAGCTCTGGGCAGGAGGTTGGGGATGGCAGGTGTGTGTGTGTGTGTGTGTGTGTGTGTATTGGGTCCAGCATCTGCCTTGAAAAGAGTCACTGCACTGGTTCTGGGCCTCTCCAAGATGATCAGCAGCTCCGAGGAGCTGGAGCAGCACGCACAAAGCCCCTGCGCCTCCTGGCGCTCAGAGCAGCGACCTAGCAGGGACCTGTGTTGGTGGGCCTGAGGACAGATGCCACCCCTTTCAATCCTGGCTCTGTGCCTCCTTCCCGGGAGCGGATGTGAAGATTTCCAGAAGGTTCCCCACAGGCTGCCACACTAGTGGACAGGAGGTAGCAAGGCCGTGCAGTTCCTGCACCCCAGCCGTCCTGGGGACCCCGTTGCTTCCCCCCCGAAACACACCCTCCTAAGGCCACTGCCACCCCAAGAACACATGGCTCTAGCCCCGTCCCGGGCTCGGCCATGCGAAGGGCTGGGGTGTGGGATGGCGGGTGTCCGTCCTGAAGGCCAGCCTCGCCCTGTGGACGGACCCCATGGGAATGAGGGGCGCTGGCAGGAGGGGCCAACGCCTTCCAACGGCCCCCCGGGCTCTCTCGCGCCTGGCTCAGGGGTACCGGGCCAGGCTGGGGCTTCCGGTGCCCCGGGGCCCGGGCTGGACCAACGGCCACGCTGGGCGATGACGTGGCGGCGGGCGGCGGAGCTGAGCCCGGCTGCCCTGCTCCACAGAGAAGCCAGAGGCTGGCAGCGGGCTCTGCACCTCCCGAGGCGGCCCAGCCCAGCCCCAGGGGCCCCGGGGGCCCAGCGTGTGCAGGGGCTGGCAACACTGGGCAGCAGGGAGGGGCGGCCCGGGACAGGCGCTCCAGACTGCACAGTGGATGTGGGGGGACACTGCTCCCCACTTCTCCTGGCCTTCCCAGTCTCCAGCTGGGCCTCCTCCTGGGGGCGGCCGCGTCCCCTTGTCCCCTCTCAGTCCTCTGGGAAGGGGACCCCTCCTCTCCTCTCTGTGCTCTATGGAGAGGCCTCCTGGGGGCCTGGTCTCCAAGGGGCGCCTGTGGTCCTGGGTTCGGATGCCCCTTCTGCTTTTCTGGCACCTTCTATCGTTTCCTTTCATCTCCCTGTCTGTGGTCTCCTTTGCTACTTAGGTTTTATGTCACTAATCCCATCAGCCCAAAAAGCTTTTGTGCAGGGACAGACAGGCTCCTCCCCATTTGTCTTGCTGGGTTTGTCAACCTTTTACTAATCATGTTTACTGCACCTTTGTGCAATAGATACAGAATTCACCCCTGAATGACCACTATGTCATTTAAATTACTAATCCAATTTTCCTATGCTTGGTCCTGAAGGACCTTTGGTGACTTTATTGGCAGACACAAGCGACGTACTACAGAAATCAGGTTCCTGACAGAAACCACAGCAGCTTTGTGCCCTGGTGCTCACCAATAGAGCTCTGTTTTTGACACTTCGTATGCTTCCAGAATAGGGTGTGAGAGATAATGACTCGGTAGGGACAGTTTATGATTGATGAGGAGTGATTTCTATTTTTTTGTGTGTATGTGTATGCCAGTCCTGGGACTTGAACACAGGGCCTTGGTGCTGTTCCTGAGCTTTTTTTTTTTCCTCAAGGCTGCTGCTCTACCATTGGAACAACCGCTCTACTTCTGGCTTTTTTGATATTTGATTGGCGATAAGTGTCACACAGACTTTGTTGCCTGGTCTGGCTCCAAACCCAGATCTCAGTCTCTGAGTAAGATTATATATAGGTTTGAGCTACTGGCCCTGGTTCGAGATTCCATTTTAGACATTGTAAATAAATTCATAAATGTATATTCTGTTTCAAGAGGGCCAGAGGAATGACAAAATGACAGGCACTTAGATGTGATCAGAAAGGGAAAACAAGACTTCTTTGATGAGAAGTGTCTGCTCACTAACTCCCAAATGTGGATCTCCCACAAAGACGAAAAGGAACTCTGGTATAGAATAAGCTATTAGGGGCTCTGACGTTGATTTTTGGAGGAGGAGAAAACTATGTGGTTCATGATATGTCCTACTCTGAGGGATTAACAACTATCCTTGCACGTGTGTGTGTAGGTGTGTGTAGGTATGTTGTGTACAAAAATGGGCAGAAACTGGGAGCAAATTGTTCTGCTACTAAGGGCTCACTCACAGTTGTTCTCGGTTCTCTGATGTGTTCCTTCTTTGGGATTCTTCACCATGTTCATTGGGAAGTGAGCTCAACTTAAGGCTACTGAAGTATTCAAAGTAAATTGGGAGAGTGTAGACATTGAACTTGAAGTAGTGAGGTCAGCAAGGATTCGTTTTCATCAAAACTCTTCCGCCTAGTGGGCAAGTTCATGCACTGAGAACCCTTGAGTTTGCAGGTCTACACTCATAACCCCTGTTGAGAGGATGGCTGCCCTTCACTGCACCTGCCTAGCCAACAAGAGCAGCCCTGTTTCCACCTGCCCGCCACTGTCTGACCCAGAAGCCTGTGGCATCCTTTAGCCTGAGTCTTATTCCCTTCTGTGTCTCCAACTCTCTGTGGACTCAAGTGTCACAAAGTAGAGCTGAGATGGTTTTCTTTCCACAGGGTCCTTTTCAGACACTGAAGAAGAGGCCTTCCTCATCCTCCCAGAACCATCAGCCTGGGGTTGGGGTTCAGTGCTCTGAGGCTCTTAGAATAGTATGAGCAGGACTGGAGTCTATCTTCCCCAGGGCATGAAGAGCCTACTCAGGCTCTGATCCATCCTCCTACCTGAGGCGGATCCTATCACAGCCCCCCATACCCTTTGTGCTTCCAGAGAGAAGTAAATACTTCAGAGGGCCTTTTTCAGAAAAATTGCTATCCTTCTCCACAGCCTAAAGAATTCCAGTCGGGATACTGATTCTGCTAGAATTTCTGTCTCCCAGTAGGGCCTGATCATCTATGCTCTAGATCCACCTGTGACATCATATGACACTTGCCTTGCCTTTATCTTTCTTCCAGTAATGTAGGTCACAGAGCCCCAGTAGGCCATGGCTATGTGAAGATCACCACCTCTACATCTTTTGTGTGCATTTTTCCCATTTGCTAGACCCTGCCCTGATACCCTGGAGCAGCCTCTATATCTTCTCCCAATCTGTCTTCTAGAGGAGACTCTTCTCTAAGGAGTTTGATGCCAGGTGCATCCAATCTGAGAGAGGCCTCCCCAGAGTGTCTGGGAACTGTGCATGTAGCCACACCCCCAGCTCTGTGTGTGTGTGTGTGTGTGTGTGTGTGTGTGTGTGTGTATCTATGGTGCTTGAACTCAGAGCCTGAGTGTTGTCCCTGAGCTTTCTTATTCAAGTGCTCTACCACTTGAGACACAGCTCCACTTCCAGCTTTTTTTTGGTGGATTTTGGAGATGAGTCTCACTGACTTTCCTACCAGGACTGACTTTGAACCACAATCCTCAGATCTTAGCCTCCTGAGTTGCTAGGATTGCAGGTGTGAGCCACTGGTACACGGCTTGCAGCTCTGGTTTTTAAATGTGTATTTTCAGCTTAAATGGACTTTTTAGAACAGCTTGTGATTTTTATTGATATGGCATTGTATTCTGTGCTGCTCCTGAACCTCTGGTTGAGGATGGGGAACTTGAGGGGCCTTCAGGAAAACAACAACAACAGAACAATTGTTCTCAGGAACACCTCACCAACCACCCATTGGCTTTTGGAAAACATCAGGACAGGTAGCTTTTCCAATGCAATACTCCCTTGGTATAAGCTGCCTAGAACTCATGTGGCCATCAAAATAGTTTCAATAAAAAATCAGAGCTCATTCTGGCTTATTCTGGCTCTTCTGAATGCCAGAATAATTAAAACATTGTGTCACCAGAATATCATCAGGTTATATCATGTCATAGAAGATTCCAGCAACATATACCTCAGCACAGCCAATGGAAACCTGAAAGATGACATCATTGCCCTAAATTACCTGGAAGAGAAAAGGCTCAGAAATTTCTGTTTTTAAAAAACTTGCACACTTCAGAACCTGCATATGCATGGGGATCTCAAACCCCATAACATCCTGGTAGATGTTACGATGACAGAAGTCCTTGGAGTATCGAATTTGGGCCTAAGCATCAGATTTATTATTTTCATTTGTCAAGAGGCTTGAACTCAGGGCCCTGAACTTTTTTGTTCAAGGCTAGTGCTCTATCACTTCCAGCTTTCTGGTGGTTAATTGGAGATAAGAGTCTCAGGGACTGTCATTCCTAGGCAGGCTTCAATCAGTAATCCTCAGATCTCAGCCTTCTGAATAGCTAGGATTACAGGCCTGAGCCACTGCACCCATCAGATTTAAACCTGGGTAGAAACTCACCAATTTCTGCAGCACAGTGCCCCTTACTGCCCATCGGCCTTTTATGACAACGACAGTTATGACAAAACTGTCATTGACATGTGGAGCCCAGGAGTGGTTTTGTACAATATATTTGGAGGGGTTCATCACCTTCTATGAGTTCAATTCCACCCAGTAGCACATAGGGTTTGTGCTTCCAAAGGACATTACCAAATAAGTGCAAGACCTCATAAGTAAGCTCTTCATCGCTGACTGGAAGGAAAGAGCCACCTTAGATGATGTCATTCAGCTCCCATAACTGATCCAATCAAAAAATTGTAAAGGGACTGATCTCACCACTACTCTTCCCAAACATTCCTACACCAACATCTAACCACCATCAGTCATGGGAGTCACATCCAGGACTCTCTGAACAAGAGGAAGTTTGATAATACAAAGGCTCTTACCTGTTTCTGCAACACCAGATGCCCCAGGGGTTCAGCTGCACCAGCCAATGCAAGCCTGAGACTCTTGGCCTGGTGCCTGGCCTTTCCCCCACTGATCCTCTCTCCATCACTTAACCACAGGAAGAGGAGAGCCAGTGACCCTGACCTTCACCCCTTCACCCTTGTACCCTTAGAAGAGCAGCAGGAGGAACATAAGAGTTCAGGGGACAAGGATGTGAAAAAGTCCTCCCTTCCCATTCCCCTCTACCACAACGGATGGCAAAGCCATTCCCAGGCTATCTTCCAAGAGTGCTCCCAAAGCTGGACTCGGCACCACTGACAATGGTTGAGGGTCAGTCATCAAGGCCTTATCTGTGGGTACCAAGTCAAAAGCCAGCTTAGGGCCTGGCCATCCCTCAGGTGGGAAGATAGCATCTTCTCTCGTTAGTCAAAAAGGAAATTCTGTCAATCTTGAGCAAGGTAATGGTGTCACAGAAGAGCATGCTAGAAGTGTGAAGGTGATCATTGCCAGGCAGCGGCCAGATCGCAAGCACAAATCCACCTCCTCAAATGGACTTGAGCCCCAGAGATGTGAGACCACGAAGGAGAACATACTCTGAGCTGGGCACCAGTAGTTCACGCCTATAATCCTAGCTGCTCAGGAGACTGAGATCTGAGGATTGCAGTTCAAAGCCAGCCCGGGCAGGAAACTCCATGAGACTCTTATCTCCAATAAACCACTAGAAAACTGGAAGTGGCGCTGTGGCTCAATAGGTAGAGTGCTCGCCTTGAGCTGAAGAGCACAGGGACAGTACCCAAGCCCCGAGTTCAAGCCCCATGACTGACCAAAAAAAAAAAATCTGTTGTCTTGTTCCTGTGTGCCTGTCTGCCAGCTGTAAGACACAAAGCACCCACAGAATAGTTGTTCCTGGATAACTACCTAACTCTTGATCTACCTCTAGGTGGGAGCATCTCATCCTCAAAGTAAAAAAAAACTCGGACACTTAGCAATAATGAGAACTTCCTCTAATAGAGAGAAGCCATTAGGGTGCTGTCTACTACTTGTAAAGAAAACAGAGCGTCTGGGCACCGTACACTAATCCCAGCAAATCCTGCCTATAATACTAGCTACTCAGGAAGCTGAGATTCGAGGATTGGGATTTGAAGCCAAGTCAGTGAGACTACTCATCTCCAATGAACCACCCAAAAGTTAGCAGTGGAGCTGTGGCTTAAGTGGTAGAGTACTAACCTGGGGGGGAGGAGAGGAACAACTCAGAGACAGCTTCTAGGCCCTGAGATCAAGCATCAGGACTGGCCCATACCCCTCCTCCTGAGAGAGAGAGAGAGAGAGAGAGAGAGAGAGAGAGAGAGAGAGAGAGAGAAAATAGAGCTTCTACAACAAAGTTGTTCAAGGGCAACAGGCAACCAACCACATCAAGTAGGCAGGCCAGGCCAGCTATGCTGCTGCATTTCGGATTTATGCCTGTATTAATGTTCCTTTCAAGTAACAAATCATAATTGTACGACTTATGGTATGCAAGATCAAGATTGCACGTGGGATGATCAAAATCATTTTCCAGCAAGTGTAGTCCCCACTGGATACCAGAGGCCAGGGTCTCCACCCCAACAGCATCTCACGAGTCTGAGGGACAGATGCTCAAGTTGGCTCTTCTAACTTGTTTTCCCTTCTAGGTGTTGAACTCAGAACTTTGCACTGCTAGGCAAGTGCTCTACCATCTAATCCATGTCTCCAGCCCTTCACAGCTATGTCAGAAAGACTGCTGCTGGGCCTGTCCTCAGGTATTAGATGTGGGGTACAAAAGAACCCAAACAACAAGGGGCACCATGCCCGCTGCAGTGGCCTTCAGCTTTCTACAATCCTCAAGTACCTATGAGGACAGACAGTGACAGTAAAACAGGGCCACCTGCCCTGCGGTGCTGACTGATATTAATTGCCTGAAGGCCGGTCAGCCAAGGTGGCTCAGTGACCAATGATTTGGTGTCACAGGCTCCCATAGATTTTTGTACAATATTCCATCACATCTAGCATAGCAGAAAGAATGTGCTTGGCCACCTTAACACCATGAGGTGTCTCCGAGACTCTTAAAGATGCAATAAAGGCAGAGGGGGGGAGGTGAGGAGACAAACTAAGAGCAGATGGCCATGTTTACCACCTCATTCTCCTTTGCATGTGTGAGACATGCTTACGAAATTTCTAGGAACTGGGTGTTGCTGGAAAGGTGGAATGGGGGGGGGGTGAGTCTAAAAGCTAATAAACCAATCACACCTGAGCTGGAAATAGAAAAACCCAGCTTATCACATCCTTCTAAGCCCGTCACTTGAGGTAATCAGAACTCACAAGAGAGGAGAGGAGCTTTCCGGGCAGTGGCTCCTGTTTCTACTATTTCAGAGGGTAACTCCTGATTAGAGTGATGGGAATACAGAGCATCTTTTCCAGTGGGTTCAGAGTTAAGACAGGTGTGTGGAAGGTTGGTGTTTTGGGGGGTGGGGTGGGGTGGTGGGTGGGAGGTGTACTGAGGGTTGGGAAGGTTGGAAGGAGGCCAACAATATCAGCCAGACAAGGATTGTCTTCTGGTTCTACTCCAACCTTGTGTGGGACTCCTCAGACACAAGGCTCCCCTCTCTGGAAAAAAAGAGGCCCTGGACCCCAACTTCTTTCTCCTAAGTGGGGCAGGATGAGTAAACACAACACATCAAGCCCAGGAGGCAGTGTGTGGGAGGGAATGTATGTAGTCCAGAACAGACCAGGAAATCAGAGGCAGGGATGTCAAGAAAGCCCAGGCTGTGGGAAATATGAGATGCTTCAAGGGCTGCTTTTGCTTAGCCTATGAATTAACTCAAAGCAGCCCCTCCTCCCCCTCCACAATCTTTCTCTATCCTACACCAAGTCTCTTTATTTGGTGTATAGCGGTGAATGATTGGATGTGGAACTCCTTAGAGTTTTGGCCCATGGTTGAAAAGGTCCAATTTTAGCTTTGGTGAGCTCTGCCAGAGAAAAACGAACCATTTTAGGTGTCAGCTACTTATCACTAGTAGATTCTGAACGGTGAAGGGAATTCATGCCCTGCAGGTACTCTAACCACTTTTCTTCCAGGGTCTTTTTCTTTCCACTTCAGCCAACGTTGGCTTCTTTTTTGCCGTTCTCTGGTAAGGGCAGAGAATCCATCCAACATGTGGCTTACAAGGTCCTTTGAAGATGGACCTTTCTGAGTTCTCCCTAATGGATGTACCTCAGGTCTTCCTCTCCCTTTTTATTTTTTGGAGGTTCTTCTGTTCCCTTCTGGTTATGCTAAATTTCATTGGCATCAGTGGAACCACTGGGCTTTTGCCATTTTCACACAAGGTAATCTGGGATGCCATTCAGAGACAAAACTGAAGGCAAAAATGGCTTTTTCCCCACTAGACAACTTATCTTGTCTGAAAAATGGCATAGACAAGATAATTTGAATGCTGGTTATCCTCCACTTTTTGGTGGCTAATTGGAGATTAGCATGGCATGGACTTTTCTTCCCCGGGCTGACATCAAACTGTGATTTTTTTCAGGTCTCAGCCTCCTTAGTAGCTCGGATGACAGGCATGAGTCACCATCACCCAGTCTCAGAAGCTTTTCTGAGCATTTAAGGCGCGAAATTAAAAAAACTGCTGGCAGCAGGGAAGGGATGTGAGATCCAGAGAAATGAGCTTGAGTGTATCAGAGATCTTTGCTTGTTAAGAACCTTGTTAAGATCTTGCTTGCTTAAGAATGAAAAAATGCATTTGTTCACTCTTTGTCCCACCATTTCCTCTCTTTGCCCTCCCAAAGACGGAAAAATGAGCAAGCAAGATAGAAAAAGACAAACAGCAACAAAGAAAAAAAAACCTCTTGTTTCCATTTCCTGGAGTTCATTTCAATAAATATTATTTGATATGTTCAGATACACATAGGTATTGTACCTTTGTGCTCCTCTCCCAAGAATATCCCCCTTTGCTCTCATTGTGTGTGAATATCTAGAGACCTGTATAATTTATCATGTCCCAGTGAATTTTTTTAACCATCCAGTGTGTTTACTTGTAGATTTATAGACACATTCTAGCTACCATGAGTTAAGAATATTTTTCTCTGGGTCTGGCTTACTTTAATCTCTTTTCCCCAAATCTTTCTCTTTCCTTACGAATGGTACAATGTCACTCTTTCTGATGGATGAGTAGAATAAAACTTGTGGTTGGCCACAGGAGGGAAAAACAGAGAGCAAGGAAAGGGTGACATTGTTTAAAAAGAAATGTACTGTTTACCTGGCTTATGGAACTGTAATCCCTCTGTACATTACCTTGACAATAACAATAAAAATG